TGTGTTACTAACAGCTTCTGAAGAGCCTAATTACTCATCCTTTTCAGAACAAAATTAAAAGATAGATTCAAAGAGGGTTGGAGTGATGTTGGTCCAGGTAACTCTGCTAGTGAGCAGAGGAAGAAAGATCCCATTCTTCCTCATTTGGCTGAACCGAGCCTCATCTTCTAAGAGCTGGGAAACCTCTGAGAAAGGCATTTTAATAGCTCTCTGGCAGCCTGGTCCTGAGTGGTGTCCTTTCCAGAGGAAAGGTAGTTGTCAGTGCCAGCGAACAGGTCTTGTTGAACCAACCTCCCATACCAGTCCCATGAATCACTGTCTTTTCGGCCAAGCTCTTCATCACTTTGGGCTGTTGTGCTGGTTTTAGCTGGGGTAATTTTCTTCACAGTAACTAGAAAGAGCCCGTGTTTTGGATTTGTGCTGATCACAGGGTTGATAATATAGAGAGGTTTTTGTTATTGTTGAGCAGGACTTGCACAAAGCCAAGGCCTTTTCTGCTTTTCGTACTGCCACACCGGCAAGCAAGTTGGGGGTGCATGGGAGTGTGGGAGGAGACACAGCCAGGACAGGTGGCCCAAACTGACCAAAGGGGTGTTTCAGACCATATGACATCATGCTCAGATCTAAAGAGGGGGGAAGAAAGAGTAAGAGGGGGGACATTTGGAGAATGCCATTTGTCTTCCCAAGTAACCAATACACATGATGGGGCCCTCCTCTCCCGGAGATGGCTGAATACCTGTCTGCCCATGGGAGACAGTGAATTAATTTCTTGTTTTGTTTTGCTTGTGTGCATGACTTTTGCCTTTCCTACTAAACTGTCTTGATCTCAACCAAGAGTTTTCTAGCTTTTATCTTTCTGATTCTCTCACGGGTCCCACTGGTGGGGGAGTGAGCAAGTGGCTGTGTGGGGCTTGGCTGCTGGCTGGGGTTAAACCACAATAGCTGTTCAAGAGCACAGGCTCCTGTTCAAGAGCTGCACCAGCCAACAGCACACAGACACAACAATTCTGAATACACCTGCCCTCAGCAATTGTAAAACTTCACTGTGGGCTTCCAGCAGTGAGACCCCCACTGATCCGGGACAGAGGCTAGGAAGGAAGGAGACTTCTGATCCCTGGGAGATGAGAGCAAGACAGCCTCTACTGTTCCGGTGAACCTCAATGCTGTCTGCCACAGGGTCAGCACTTCCCTTCCTCGAGTTTTGCCCCAGCATTCACCCTCGTCTACCACAATATGCATTCACTAAGACAGCAGGGATGGAGTGACACCACTGTGTGTAGCTGCACCTCTCCAAAAAACAGGTCAGCTTAAGGATGCCAAGAGGCAGCTCTGATCATCCTGATACCACAGTGTTGCAAAATGTGGAATATATAAAAATTTTCTTAAGAAAGGATATTCTTTGATGTTTGATCTTTGTATACTTTCAAGCCTAATCAACATGGAAGGAGATTTAATCCATGAAACAGATAGTAGGTAACAAGCAAGCTCTTAGTGATGTCCAGGTGTTAGAAAGATAAATTACTTGTCATTAGAATTGCCTTGTTAAGATTTAGGGCTAAACATCTCAGACCTAGGTGAACATAAATAATGTAGAACTTATAGGCCACAAGGATATTTGGAAGAGCTTCCAAGATAAGGTAGAAACTAATAAAGACAACAACTGTGCTGGATCAGCTCCGACTGGGTAAAAGGTAATTCTGACAAGGGGAGAGCATGACTGCCAACTCATGGCCCACTGATGCAAGAAACCCACCAACCCAAACAAAGAGAAAGGCTCAGAAAGCAGACTAATTAGCATGAGAAGGGAGAGGATTATTAACCAAGAGAAGATAGAATATTAATTACTAAGAGAAATAGGTAACTTGTAGCCAATGAACATTCATGCCTTTGTTTGCTAAGACGTATAAATTAGCAAAAAGTTTTGGTAGTCGTCATGCTGGCTTTGTGCATTTGCCACCTGTCACCCCTTTCTGTGCAGAACTGTAAATAAATCAAATACCTCGACTCAGTGTGTGGATTGGCCCCTTGCACACTGCATGACAGAACCTGTTTTGGGACAACAACAGCAGCCTCCATGTGCTGGTCAAGAAACATCATCTTTGGATAAATGGCATCACACACACAGAGTTTGTCAATGGATGTGCTACACTCACTGGGAGTGCAGAAGGGATTATTTCTGAAAGTGCTAAACTCTGCTTGTTTATATTATATACCACAATAGCCCTCTGCACATGCACTTGCCATTGCTTCAAATCAGCACAGAGGTCCTGTGTAGTATGGAGCTGAGTTTCCACCCTGACTTTTCCAGGCGGAATAATGATGCCTAAAGAGAAGGGAAGTTATCTAGAGATGCTTTGATTGGAACTCCCTGCATGCTGCTCCCTTTAACTTGTTCCATTTTTTCTCTTCCTTACCCTTTGTTGTGCATCCAGAAATGTTCTGAGCACAAAAATACTCTATATATTTATAGTAATAAGCCAGTGCCAATCAGCACTTCAAAGCTGCCCTCTCCAGGCATTGCACTTCACAAAGGCAGACCTTCCTGCTAGATAATCCCAGGTCCATTTCACAGGTTCACCAGTGGTCATATGCTGAGCAGAACTAGGAGGCTCCAAGCAACAGATCCAATTCTGTCTGGAAAACATAGCATCCAATATATTTCTACAGAATTCACTTAACGTGGTCATGCCGTCCCCCTGTCCACACACCTTTTGGAGATGCAAAATTCCTACAAGGTTTGTGAGAGTTGGTTGTTATGTAGATGACACCGACCCCCTTCATTCCCTCTCAAGGCTAGCAAGAGAAGTCACACACCCAGCTGCTGGGTTTGATGCCAGCAGCCATCCAAATATGATCTACCCAGACTAATCTTGCCTAAATGACAATCCAACAAGCTCAGGGAGGCAACATGGAAGAGAGAATGGGAATTACAGGGAGGTCACAGGGACAAAGAAGAAAACCAAGGTACTGTGGGGGGCAGAGCCCAGAACATACATGGAGGAGCTGGTGATACCATGGCAGGGGTTTGGGAGACACACAGGGAGCTGGAAATGCAGCACTGGGGGTGCTGGGCTGTAATAGAAGCCCAGTAGGAGAGTAGGAGATTGGGATTGATGTGACGAGGAGATCATAAATCCCTGGGGCAAAAAAGCATTATTGATTGTGCTGCTTGTGAAATAACTTCTATCAATATGGGGCCATGTGCTTTATCTAAGTTGCCACTGGACACTAACAAGGTACCAAGCATCTGTTTACACTCTCTGGTGATAAAGCATACAGCCCTGGCACAGCCAAAACAGTGGATGCAAAATCTGAATATGCATATTAAAGAAGTTAAACATGGTGTCCACACTCAGTCACAGAAATAGAAAATACATGTGGGAAGGAGCCAGGCACCTCACCTGGAATGTGGCCCTGCACTGCCCTTTTGCTCTGCTCCAAATTGGATGAACCCCACAACATGCAGTGATGGAGTCAGGATACCTTTGGGGGGCAGGAGGCAGCAGGGACATGTCAGCTATTATTCCCTGTCAGCAAGCATGGCCCAGGTGCAGTAAGTGCCAGCAGCTGCAGAGACCTTGCAGCAGATGGAGAGAACAGTGGTCATGGTGCCACAGGGCAGGGCTCTGCTGCAGTTCAGCACTATGGGCTCTGTCAATAGGGACCTCAAACAGCTCTCCCCGCTCTGCAGTCAGGCTTTAGCATCAAGCCCAAGGCACAGTCTGTGTGCTGACCCAGCCTGCCTGCCAGGTGGTACCTCTGGGGCATCAGGGGTTCAATCACACTGCCAATACCATCACTTTTCCACGTCTCACACCCTGCACTTCCAAAACAGGGGGATGTGGCCCTGCTTCCCCGCATGTCAGTGCTGCTCCATGGTCTTTCAGGCAGCTGTACTCACTCCTGTGCCAAGAAGCTGAAGGTTTGCTCAGCCACAACACAACACTGGTGCTCTGCCGTGGCAGGCTGGGCTCATCTGTATGCAGCCACCAGCCATGGACATCACGCAGCTGCCTCACCTGTCCTTGAAGGCAATGTAACTAGACATATCGCCTCACCCAGACATTGCAGACAAAATCCATATATTTTGACTCTGTCACTTTGGTAGGACACCAGATATGTCCCCAGGCATCAGTGCAGAACTTGTTTGCTCCTCAGACAACATCCTAGAACCTCCTGTTCTGCTGATGTGCCACTGCTCTACACCTATTTTCAGCTTTGCCTTAAGTTCCTTGATGCCACCTGTGCACCCACTCCATACAAGTGCTCCATGTGCCAGAGGCTCTCTGAGGCAGCCAAGATGAATATCAGCAGTGCTCATTATGCTGTTTTCTAGGGCAAAGAGAGGCCCTTGCTCCTGCAGATTCCTTGTCCCAGTGCCTCATCTTTTCTGCTTTTGCAGATGAACCACACCACCACTTTCACCAGCAGAGGCGGGTGGGGTAGTGGCATTGGTCTCCTATGTTTGCATTAAGCAGCCCATGGGCAGCATCTCTCTGAGAACAGCACCAAGCATTTGGGGAGATGGGTATCAGCTCCTGCTCCAGGCACAGGTTCGTTAGGGCCACGATCCTCACTGTGGTTTGTCACTGTTTTGTCATTCACAGTAGCTCAAAGCGGCATAAAAATTCACCAGCCCCTGGAAGAGGCACTTTGCACTCACTGCATGGTGGGGCCGCCACACAGTGCAGTGAGGGTGATGTCCATGTCCTGAGCCATTCACACTGACAGAAATGCCAGGCCCAGCAGGGGAAATGAACAGATGGATAACCACCTGCTGAAAAGGAAAATGTTGATACAACTAGGTGTTATGGCAATTTGTATACTTCCTTTGATCTCAGCTTTATCTTTGTACTGCATATAGAAAGCAAAGAGAAAAACAATTAAGCTTTATGCTAAACCACTGAGTTTCTCAAATTCATTTTCCTGCTCCATAATGGGAACAGAGGATCGACTCCCAGCCTGCATTAATGAAAAAAACAAACACAAGCATAACTTCATAAGTGATAAAAGTTGCATTTCCAGGCAATTATTTATTTGCTTTTGCTTCTACAGAGCCTATCTATGCATTGCATAGGAGTCTGTTGGAAGCACCTCCAGTAAAAGTCTTTAGTCAATTTGTTTAAACTCTTATAATAATAAACAGCAACATTAAACAGCATTTCATCCACTAGGCCTCATAACCATCTCCTCACTTATTCCCATGTTGAAGCCTGGAAAAACTCAGTACACTTTGTCCCAAAATTCAGCAGATTCAGGTCCTGTAACTCCATGACTGAAAACAAGTTTCAGAAGAAAGACCCTGGGAGGATGATCCAGCTGCAGCCTTCCAAAGACTATTTAAGTGAGCACGGATAGAGTCCCTAGACAAACTCTTAGCTGTCAGGCCTGAACTCAGAGGAAATTCAGAATCTGAGTTCAAGTGACACATGCAACCTTTTATTTCTATGCCCACTCCATTCTTAGAAGTCACTTGGCCTTCAGGAAAAATCACTTTAGTGTTGTTCCCCAGGAGCCCTGCAAGCAGCTTGGCATGGGTGGCAAAAGGGCAATGCCACCAGCCTGCCAAGGAGTCACAATTTCAGTGTCCTTCCAACCCTTGCTGCTGACCCATGGTGCTCACTGAGCAAAGTACCTCTGCCACTGACAATATACACTGATCCAATATTTTGTCTCTATCAGCAGATAAAATCCACTTTAGAAGCTCTCTATATCTCCAGGCTGTGCATCTCAGCCTATGGAAAGTACCTTCACGTTATTACTGTCACCCTGTCTCCCCCTCATTTCTTTGCCTTGGTGTTGAGCTACACACTCACTGTAAGCCCTTGCACGTGTGGGAGTCCTGGGGCACTGTGAGCATTATTTTAAGTCTGGAAAGAGATGTGGGGCTTTTTTTTTTCTGGCAGAAGCTGTAACAGCCAGAGCTGCATCAATAACAAGTACTGACTAACACACAAGGCACTCTGAAGGCATTATTTATGTCAAAGAAATCACAAACCTTTCTTGATTTTTCTATCGCACCACGTGCATCCTGCAAGGTAGAGAGACATGAGGAGTCACACAAAGTGCAACCAGATCTGCTGTTTGTACCAGATGGCTATAGGTATCAGATGGAGCTTGGGACCTACCACTTTCCATACAGCTGCAGAACATCTGTGCCATTCCAGCTCTCTCAGTGAGAGGTCACCAGGGCCATTTATGTCCCCCAAAATTAATGGCATAACTGAAAACAAAATTTGGGTCCCCACTAATTCCGTACTTTTTCTCTCCTTTCTCCTCAGGTTTCCTGAGAGCTAAACATGCCATCCAGCTAAATTTGCACTGGGTCCTTCCTCCAGTATGTCCTTGACCACCTCAGTGTCTTATGCTATGTAGGAGGGGACATGGTTTGTTGATACAATCTGAGAAGCTGCAACAGGGTTCAGCACACACTGATATTAAGGCCAACCTTTGTGGGGATGGAGGGCTTCATGGTGTACAGCCACACAGCTCCTCCCCAAAAGCCATCCTGACTTCCCAAGCCCCTCGGGACTAGGTATCAGCTCAGGACTGCAGGCAGAAATGCAAGCTCTTCGCTAAATTCTCCTTTCAAGGTATGTCACAGGATGACTGCTGAGGGATCAGTGATGTTTTCCAGCTTAGAAACCCCACTTCCTCTCTCACGCACATTAGTGCCATCAGTCCTGAGTGAGCACCTTAAAAAGTTGGGCTTCCTGTGCAAAGTAACAACTTTATTTTCAGTGCCTGCTGCCCGCTCCCCCAGCATTGACTGCAGGGGACTTGGGCACAGCTCATACAGCAAAATGGCACCAGGGAAAGGGTGGTGCTTCTGACCCTTGTTTGGTGTCAGGGATGCCAAGGCAGAGTGGGAATGACACTGCATTTTCCTTTTCTGGAGCACCAGGCCATCTACTCCATGACTTAGCTGAGGCGCCGCAGGTCTAAGGAGAGGACAAAGTCGGTCTGTTCTGCTGTGGGCTCTCTGCCAGGCTCGCCCTGCCCAAGGCTGCTGCAATGCCAGCTTTCTCTGGCCCAGGGGGAAGCAACTCCGTGTCTCCTTCCCAAGCCCCAACCATGCTCCCAGACAACCATGAGCACTGCCAGACTCTGCTGATGCAGGGACCAGGGGCACAGGCTGTCCCACAGAGCCCCCACAGCCCATATGGGACTGGCCACCCTTGGCAGTGCCATCCCAGATGGGAGCTGCAGGATGTGGGCATGTCTGCAGGTTTTTGCAGCACTGCAGCAGCAAAAGGATTCAAATGCTCAGCCAGGTATCACCCGTCTGCAAGGCTAAACCCAAACCAGAGCAATGCTCCCTGCAGAGACAGGGATTTTGAGCAGTCTGAATACTTAATATTCCCCTTTTTGCAAAACTAGTGTTTTCATGCAATGCTGAGAACTCCATAGAGAAAAATAACTAGGTCAAAACTCCACAAACATTTGGATGCTGCCTGACTTCTTACCTGGAGCATCTCCATACATAACTGCATTCCCAAGCAATAGTGGGAGCCTTCCCATCACACAGGCAGCAGGAAGCACGGGTAAGGTTGCCTCACATGTTTAGTATCTCCAATGACATGATTATTAATCATTAAGTCAATTGCATTAATATTCTTAAGACTATCACACACCTGTTCCCTAGCACCATCTGGAGGCAAACTTAGTCCTTCGCCCAATTTAGTGGAAATGGTGCCTGTAGATCCAGGATAACAAATGGCTCCAGCTCCTCCAGATCAAACTCTCAGCAAAGATTCAGGTGTTTGCTGCTCTGAATACATGTTGTAATATAGACAAATCATGCAAGTTTGGTCGTTTGCTGCAGGCCAAGAACTGTTTAGGAACGTACATTTAAACTCAGTATGCTAACTCAGGTCAAAAAGCAGAACAGCACAGCTGTTCTGATAAAGACAGCAAAAAACCCTCCTGACCATGCAGTTTTAAGAAACTGAGGAAAACAACGTAGAGGAAAACAAAACTTCAATATGCATCACTTACATCACAAGCTTTTTCTCCTTATTTTTCCCCGTATTTGGGAGCTGATCTCTTCTCTAACCACATGCTCCTCAAAACAGGAAAAAACCCCAAATTCTTGCCTTGCAGTCCTCCACCCCAGAAGGCAGACATCAACATGATTTCAGAACAGGGCATTATAAAACCATTTTGCAAAGGGGCAACCAGTAAGAAGCTTAAACTGGGAAGAAAGAAAGGATTACAATTAAAAAAAAAATCACATAGGCACATGAGACATTAAAGAAACATGCCCAGATCTTAAAGCCAAACTCTTTCACCATCAGCTGCTATGATACATGATTTTATACCTGAGGTGGTTATGGACTAAGTCAGTACTTGTGTATTTTCTTGGCTGAGCAGGTAAAACTCCCCATAGAGACAACATCTCCACTTGCTTAGTGGCTCTTAGAATAATTAGGTGTCATGCAAAACTCACCTTGTTCAATTGCTGGTTTATAGTCAGCAAAATTCTGATCAATATTTCGCAGGCCCACATGCACACAGGTGCTGTGAGGGAGTACAAGATTCAGCTTTTAGGACACTGGCCAAAGTAGCAGAATCAACCCACGGCAGATGAAGTACTTGTTCAGAGACATGAGAGATGCAAATGAACACCACGTCTTTATCACATTCAAGATATTAGTATGGTGCATACCAAAGGTCTTTGAGAAATTCCCTATTTTCACCCTATACAGCTATATAACACTGCTCACTTCTTGAACTTTCCAAGAGCAAAACTCCACTTTAACACAAGATGCATGTTGGTTTTATTAATTACAATATAAATAATACTTTCTGCAATATCATATGTTTCAGTTTCTGAATCTATATCCGAAGAAAGTTCTGAAGTTTGGGGAATACTTTTAGTGCATTCTGCGTAGTCACTTTTATAACTTCTTCAACTGGAATTCCTTTAATTTTGGCAACATATTCTGCAGCAATGTAAATATTTTTGGGTTCATTTCTCACCTGAAAACAAAGAAACAAACCAACCAAGTTACAGATCCCTACAGACCACAGGTGTTTCAGAGTCAGTACTTCCTGACACAACTTCAGTCACATTGCGGCATGAGTTCCAGAAAAATTACACGAATCTGTTCTTCTTGATTACATTCCCTTGGTAACCTCTTTCACCTCTTGTATCCATGCTTACACTACTTCACTCTCCTGTACCAGTAACTGACCTCCATGAGGTGTGGGTTTGGATATACATACACAGAAGTCCTTCCCCCCTCATCATTTACCTGTTTTTCAGGCCCCAGAGCAGGAGAGTCAGTTTCCAAGCACATATTTTCCAGAGGTAGCTGTTTCACAAGCTTCTGCTTCTTGAAGAAAATAAGACAGCTATTAATTGCTTTATGTACTTAAACCTGTGGGAAAAATTATGAAAGGAGGACATCTCCTGCATTTAACAGCAACATCAAAAGACTTTGGTGCCACTGCCTGCACTTTAGCAACAATTTCTGAATGGAAACAAGAATACCAGGAGCTGCTCAAGAAGTCCCTTCAAATTAGGATTCTCCTGTTTCCTAAATATCTGAAGTACTGTTATCTCAACACTGAATCCATTGTTACTTATTAAATCATGCAGTTATATAATAATGCAGTTATACTGCAGTAAACACACTGCATTTAGAGCTACCAATGCAATTTTGCTATTCTCTGTGTATATATGTGTGTACCTTTGCTTTCCTTCCTCCAAGTTTCCAACCTCACCCCATCTATATCCATCTCTCAAACCTCCTCCACTTGAATGAAGCCTTTTCCTGAGCTTATGACAGAAAGTGATGATTGTGCAGGATGGAAACAGACTGCCACCTCAAAATAAGAGGTTAGCAAAGTTTGTAGCAGCCCAGAATAGAAATTAAAAGAGCACTCTCACCATATAAAGCACTGAATCTGAACAATGCCATCTTTAAGCAATTTAGCTGCTTCTTTACTTGTGATAATCAGAATTCTTCATAAGTCTGCAACTTAGCCAATTGTGAATGGATTTCATTTAGAACAGAAAGTGCCACAGCTCTGAGACAGAAACTAGTTGTTTTCCATGTGTCATGTCCCTACTCTAAAACAGTACAGTGACAGAAGCTGCCAAAGAAGAGTTCACCAGAAACCACATTAAATGAGAAGAAAAAACCCCCTTGTTTCTCAGGAACAGCTGAGTTCTTTTAGCCAAAATTTCCCCTCAGAAGCCTAGCTAAGGCAAAAGTCCCAGACAGACATTCAGCCAAAGTAAAAATGTGCAATGCTATAGCAACTGAAACTTCTCCTGAGAAGTGTCAGGTTACAGTAACTGTATGCAGGCACCGCTGGTCTCATCAGCCATCATGATAAGCTGTCAGCTACTACCTCCAATTCCCAGGCACTGAGAAGGAGCAGACCCCAGCTGCAATCAGGACAAAATGTTACCTGTTCACTCCTTATAATGGAAGGAGGAATGGAGAAGAAGTATCCAGCTTTCACCCCTTCCATCGCTACAGATGGCTTCCCATCAAACGCATGGAGCAACACCTTTGTAGCACCTTGGAGAAACGAAGCAAAACAAATGATCGGCAGGGTTACAGAGCAGGGCTGCTGTGTCAGCTTCCAATGGGACCTTGGTCCCACAAAGAATGAATACAGAATATCTGCACTATTGCACACAAACTGAAGTGAGGACATGGCACAGCTGAAGAAATTCTGTTGACAAAAGCCGTGACAGAGAAAATGCATTAAAAGCATACCTTGTTCCTTCAAGAGATTAATGGTTGGTCTTCCAGCTGAGCGGGAGTGAACATTTCTGCACAGCAAGGAGAGGCCTGGCATTAGGAAATTCAGCCAAATACTTTTTTTTTTTTTGCAAACATGAACAAACTAACAGCACCTTGGCACGGAAGTAATTAATCTGTATTACACCTTTTATCAGGAAAAAAAAAAGGAGATATATGTATGAATCATTGTAGCTAGTGAAGATATAGGGACAACATAGCCAAGGACAGGAAACAGAAGGTGACAGTATTGAAGTGTAAACACAGAGAAAATTCTATAATTAAATCTTAAACTGGAGATTGACTGGACACTAATGCCAGTTTAATCCATCTAAGAAAAGTTCTGTGGGCACTTACTAACTATAAATCTTGGGAAATATTTCCACATGTTACTGAGATCTGGCAAATTCTCCTACTATTATAAATAAAACCTACAAAGGCAAATCCAGTCTTCTTGCCAACTCGATCTGCTTGATCAAAACCTGTCTTTGTCCTTCCTTCTGTTCATCGGTGCTGGCAAATCTGGGAGTGAAATCTAGTCCAACCTACAGTACAAGAGGAGAAGGGAAAAAAATTTTACAGACCTAACACTTAACAAAACCATTATTTCATATATAAAAGCAAAAAATGCTTCAAAATTGCAAAGCATTTCAAAGTATGTATACTAGAGACTGAAATTAAAACAAGCTCAACTGTAGCTTAACTCAGAAAAAAATCCATTCTCAACCATAAGCTCTTCCAACTGCAAAAGCATTGGTGGGCAGATAGTTACTAACAAGGGTATTTAACACTTTAATCCGCAACTGGTTTTCTTGGGTTTTATATTCTATTGAATATTATTTCAGAATAAGTCTCAAATCTGGATCTCCAGTATAAGTAAAGTTTCTGACTTGAATCCATAGCTTTAGTCCAAACTCTAGCAAAAATAACCCATTACTTCTATATTTTTTTGATCTAAACACGTTCAGGCAAAATTTAAAGTCTGTCAGAGCAGCCCCATTCAATTACACCAACCAAAGTCTTTTATATATAGTACAACATGGCAAATTCAGCTACAAAGCTCTGCCAATAACTGCTTTTTCTGCAGCCACTGCAGAACCAGATATAAGTCCCTCCAGTACCAACACTCAAACAAATGCAGTCTACCCTAAAGCTTTTAAGCTTCAATTCCTTTATAAACAAATGTTAGACAGGGGACAATACGTGGATACAAATAGATGAGGAATCAAAAAAAAGAACTGTACAAGTCAGTGAGGTGTACTGAAATCACAGCTTAGCCTAACTTTGTCAGGGAAGAAGGCAGGAAGGCTCTGCCTTCAGGTGTAAGACGATACAACATAATTACGCAATCTTCCTACTACTCCACCAACATAAATTCCATCTATTTTCTAATAATAACAAGGAAGGAAAGGAGGGAATCAGGCAAATCTATGGAGGAAAGCACATTAAGAGAATTACAAATCAGACTTAGTGCTTGTTCAGACTGAAAGCAATACTTATACGAGCATACACAAAACCAAGCATTCGATAAGTTTTTGTAATTCTGGTGACAGCTGCTGCTGAAGAGGTTTAAACAAGTTGTGGAATTCTACTCACTTCTCCGATCCCCACCAATTTGTCTTTGTAGAGTTCTATAAGTGGCAGTGCAGCATCCAGATCCTGCGGGAACAAGTTAAAGATGCCTTTACAAGGGGGAAGGGTTATGAACTCAGCATGATGATTAAACTGTTCTTCATTGTTCTTAAATTCTGTACTTTAGAACTTGCTATTATTGCAAGTTCTGCAGTCAGATTTTAGAAAACTCCAGGATTTGACTTCTTTACTTAATAACCCTCTCGTCATATATGTATATAATATTTATTTGAAATACTCCTAATTTCTAGCTATCTTTTCGCAGTAGCAGAAGAGGTAATTAAAACGAGGCCCATAAACAATCCGATAAGATTAAATGGCTGCAAACAGCCAAACAGCTCCCTGAGTTTTTCAGGTTAAGGTAACAAACAGTAGCCTTCCAGCTCCCATGTTAACAAAGGGACATCTGCAAATGCTGTTTGCTGTAAGCAAAGCACTCACTCGGGATTTTTTAAACTGTTTCACTGCAGTAATAGGGCCAGATGACTCCAGTGAACAATTCTGCTTTAGGACTAATATGGACAAACCTGGGGTTTGGTCCACTGGGTCTCCTGCATCACAGGGAGCAGAAAAATCACTGGGCAGAACTGAAGGTAAATCAGGCAGACTGGAGCATCCTGTCGTCTGTCCTGAAAAGTCCCAGCTGTATTTTATAGCCTGTGTTTTACCTTCAAAGTAACACTGCGCTGCTCCTCTGGAGAAACTTCTTGAACGGGATGAACGCCCAGGCATGGCAAAACAAATCCTGGGAACCTAGACACGGAACAGGGATAGGCAGTGTGAGAGACGCCAGAGAACCCAAGTTTAAGCCCAAGAAACCCCAGAGAACCCAAGCTTAAAGCCAAAAAGGGCTGGCCTGATGGAGGAGGAGGAGAGCAGCGCGTCCCCCGTCACCTCTCGCCGAGGCGCGGACACCGCGCCCGGGACACGGGTGGGCGCCGGGACCCCCCAGCCGGCCTCGCACCTCTCCGACAGCTCCACGACGCTCCGGAACTCGCCTGCCTGCTCCGACACCACCACCAGCGCCGACACGGCCGCCTACGGCACACAGAGACCCCCGGCCTGCTGAGACACCCCGGGCGGCGGGGCCACGGGGGAGCGGGCAGGGGGTCCCCGCCGGCCGCCTCACCTGCTCCGCCGCCCGCACCACGGTCGCCACGTCCTGCAGGAGACACGCAGCGTCTCAGCGCCCGGCCCGCACACCCACCAACCCACCCACCCACCGCCACCCCCAGCCCCGCCCGGCCGCCGCGCCTCACCGTGTAGAAGCAGGGCGCGGCGAGGTGGCAGTGACAGTCCACCGGCCCCGCCATGCCGCGCCCCGGGGGGAGCGCCGGGGCGGCCGCGGGTTCCGCTTCCGGGCCGGCATTTTCCCCGCGTCCCCGGCGGGAAATGGCGGCGCCGCCTGAGCCCGGGCCGGGGCCGGGTATGGATGTAGAGGGGGCGGTGGCGGCGCGACGGGACCGGCGGGTGCGGTGCTGCTCCCAGCGCAGGCTGCGGGACGTGATGGAGCTGTGCGCGCCCTTCGTGCGGACCGTGCTGGAGGGACAGCCCGGCGGGGCCGCCGCCGAGGGAGACGCGCTCTGGGTGAGCGAGGAGCGGGCTCGGCCGGTGCCGGCACAGAGCGGCCCTGGGGCCGGCCCTCGGCCGGCGGGGCGGGGGAGGCTGTTCGCCCCGAGGTGGCCCTTCCCGCCTTCCCGAGGGAAGGATGGAGGGATTGAGGGATGGATTCCAGCCTCTCCCGTGTCTTGCAGAACTTCGAGACGGCGCTGCGGGAGAACGTGACCATTAACGGGCAGCCCTGGGAGGAGGCCACGGATGACCCCAGCCCGCCGAGCGGTACGCGCTGGTTTCCATTGATTTCCTGCTGGGCGGGTTTGTTTTGGTTCGGTTTGGCTTTGCCCAGAGGCAAAGGGTGGGGTTGAAGGGGGAGGTTCTGCCTTAATGTACGGAAGTAAAAATTCGCTACTGGGTTAATTGGGCGTTGGAAAAGGCTGCCCAGGGAGGTTGTGTAGTCCCCAGCACAGAAGGCTTCCAAAAATTAGCTGGACAAAAGTGTTCTGAGCAACCTGTTTTGAACTGGGTGTTGGCCCTACTGTGAGCAGGAGGTTTAAGTCACCTGCTGAGGGCCCTCCCAGCCCTGAGTGTTGAAGGCATTGTCCAAGATACCTTCCTATGAAGGGACCCTAAGAGATTGTCTGTTGCTGCTATTTAATATACAAATTAAGTAAGTGTTGAAAATTATTGATGTATAATAATATATAAACATATGTAATGTACACAGTGTGATTGTAATGATTGTCTTTTAAATAATATTAGTGGAGATTCTTGGTAGTCTGGTGTCCAAATAAAGTTTCAGTGTGGTTCATTTGCTCACCTGTATTGGTATGAGATGTCCTTTACCTGCAACCTGATGCTTTTTACAGTTGCATAAAGCTAAATACAGATATAGTGAACTAACTATGGAGAAAGAGCTCCTTGAACTGGTTTTTAGTGAGGAAGCTTTGAGCAAACCTGGGCTCTGAGCAACCTGATCTAGTTGATGTCCCTGCTCGTTGCAAGGGGCTTGGACTAGATTACCATTAAAAGTCCCTTCCAGCCCACTCTCTGACTCTATGAAGCTTTTGCAGTTGTTGTTCTAGAATGACAGAACTCCAACTCCTTTGACTACAAGGTCAAAAATGCACTGGTCTCATGATGCAAAATGCTAAACCGAGGTACTGTCATCCGCCTGCAGCTGGCATAAAACAGATGTAAGGACTATGTTGTGCTTTTTAATTTGGCAAAAATTTACTTGTGTGCCTATCTCCGATGTCGTTTGAATCACTAAGAGATCTGACATTTTGTGCCTTCCATGTTTACATTAGCCAGTGGCTCAAGTCTTTTCTATTTATACTTAAATGATTTCATGGTGATCCTTGAACGAACAACCAGAACAAACCCATAAACTCTTAAAACCTTGATTTTGCCTTTTGGAGGTTTGCAACGACCTGATTCTGCACAGAGTGACCCTGAGAGTTCATTCTGCTTTCTTCTGTAACTTATTTTTTGCGGTTTGTAACAATGACGTGTGATGTCAGGAAAGTGCAGACGTTTACTTGTCTAAATTTTGAGACTAGTTTTAAAATAGTATCTTAAGCTTTTAAAATTGTTAAGTTTAATTTGCAGTCCTGGAGAAGTTAAGTGCCTTTAGTAGAGTAGCGGTAATAAAAACACTAGTTCACAGCTGAAAATATGTTTTAGGTGTTTAGTCTGACCCTGACATTGGAAAACAGAGCTATGAAAGGTAGCTCCTACTATGTTTTCTCTTGGTCCTCAGGTGTTTAAAGCAGGCATGTATATATTTTGCAAATTCGTTGTGACTAGAAATTGTAGATGTTGTCAGGATATAGAGTATTTCCAGGAAGTGTGTTTCATTAAGGTGGCATTGTATTTTGTCATGTTAAACTGTATGTTTGTGCTCTGTGTGGTATAAAATCAGTCAGGCTTCAAATTACTGCTTGTACAGTTGGAGTTTGTTTAATACTTGTAGATCATACAGATAAAGCATTTTTCTTTCTGCATCTTGCACTGCTTTTCTTCAGTTGAAAAACATGTGATCTCAAAAGACAGCTATTTCTTTTTAAGACTTTCTTCGTAGATTCAGAGTTCATAGAATGTTCATAAAACATTTTTTATTTTTGCCCAGATGATTCTCCCCCTTCATGCCCGCAGCGCATTTACTTCAAAATAACTGGCCAGCATCAAGTTATGCTCCAATTTCTGTATTGTCTTAACAAGGAGATTCAAGACATATATGCATCTCTTTGTTGATAATAATGCATGATTTTTTTATTTCAGATATAATTTTTTTTCCTACAAATTAGTCTCCAAAAAAAATTGTAGGAGAATTCCTGCAACAACTTTGTGTGTTTGTCATTTTTAGGTTCCAACATGGAAAATCTCGAAGATCAGTTTGATGAACTAATAGTAGTGACAGCAACAAAGCGTAAACAGTGGACTAAAAAGATACTGGTGCATGCTATCCAAACCATGAAAGCTGAGCAAGAGATGTTGGTGAGTAACCTAAAATTTTCAGAAAAACTTTGCATATAGTAGCTGCTGACCATGCGTAACTTGAAGAAATAAATCATCTGATATTGACCTTTAAGCTTCTTCCCATGGTTGCTTTCGGTTATTTGTCATATAATTAAATGGGTTTGTTGCATTAATTGGTTCTTCAGTAAAATGAGGATTTCTACAAAGCTATGAGTGAATTGGGTCTGTGGCACAGTTCAGCGAGTTACTTAAGCAGATTGAAACAATCTGGTGCCTCATGATTTACAAGCCAGTATGCACCTATTGTCACATGTTTCTGAAGTCCTTGCCCAAAGGCTGGTTGAAGTGCCAAATGTTACACTACATACAGATAAATAGTATCATGCACAGTATATGGTGGTTAAAAAGAATGTCTGTGACTTCTTAAGTGCTTTTTGCTACACTGTAACATTTTGACACTCAGTGTAAAGTTATTACTGACATTAAACAACCCAGTCCTGTCTTTGGTTGCTACATTTCTTCCCTGCAGTTACATTAGGCCTACCATTTGCTTACCTCCTGATTAATTAGGATTCCTTTGGCAAAAAAAAAAGGGACTAGAGGCAAATACTGGCACAAGTTGCCCAGTGAAACTGTGGAGTCTTCATCCTTGGAGAGATTCAGGCTCTGAGCAACCTGCACCAGTTGGCCCTACTTTCTGTAGGGTGTTTAGAGGCCCTTTCCAACTTCAGTTATTCTGTACTAAAGAAGATGGGGATGCTTTTCCAAAGTTAAGAGCCTGCATTGCATTTCTGAGGACTAAACAAACATTAACTCTCTAGTTAGCCAGGCAGAGATGATTTACAGTAAGGAAAAGGGCATAGGTACATATTTGTCTTAAACCTGAGATATCATAAAAGGCAATATATGTTAGAAAATCTCTGTTTTGTCATTATATCAAGTGTGTTAAACAAACAAAGTCAGCTCAAATAAAACATGCTATTACGGAACATCAAGATTTAGCAAGGCAATTTAACTTTTCTGCAAAAGGAAAGCTATATGCTACCTGAGTTCCACAGTGGATTAGTTATTTAGAATGCCTCTCATGCTACCTTTTTACTCTTGCTGATCTCTTCAAAGTTTACATCACTCTACAGCTAGATTATTTCAATTAAAAGTGGCTGCAAATATAGAAAGTTTAGTTATCTCTCTGTAAGTATGTATAGAAATAGAGAAAGTTTAGTCTGTCTCTGTAAATGAAGTGTCTTTTTTTTCCTCTCAGAGCTACTTCTGTGAAGGTACTAGTGATTTCTCTGCTTTTGGTTGAGGATGTTTTGTGTTCTTTCTTGACCCTAGCTAACCCTGTGGTGCGTGTTTTCTGAGGCATAAAGAGCAACTATGAAGATTTGGTTTATCTGGAGGGAACTACTAATTTATGGTGGTGATCTCCATGTAATTGCCAAAGCAAGAAATCACCCTGTGGGTTTTCAGTCAATATGTTCTCTAGTGTTTGAGGCTAATGCAAGCGATGTTTGTTCTTCTGCTGAAAAGATGTGTGAACTGTGAAAAAATTTCTCTGGGAAAACTACGAGGAGGAATTGTTTTTGCTTGAAGAAGGTTGAGGGACAGCTCCTGAACTGGAGAATACTAACTTGCTGATGATATAACTTGTGTTCCCACATCTTTGGTATTTTTTCCTTCTTCTCTGTTAGTTAGTTCTAATTCCACCTTTAATATAGCTAAATATTGGTTGTGTTCATTTATTATTAGTTTACTTCACGTCTCAACTAACTGCTGTCAAGTCACAAGACTCACAGTTTGTGAAGCACAGTGTTCTTACTTTTGCATAAGTAATTGCAGGGCTAGAATGAAGTCATTTAAGTCATTTTCTTAGCTTTTTGTCTTAATGTACCCTTTGTTGGAGTTTGTGCCTCTGTGAAAGCGCACTGGTTTTGTGAATGGCCCCTTAGAAGCCAGAGCAGCTCTTGTTCCTCGGTCATGCAGCAGGTGGCAATGCTTCTTCTGAAATGCTTGGATTTCAGTTCTGCTTTAATAATTAGAATTCTGCAAACTAAAGCAGAGTCTGGAGATATGTTTACAGAGAATGTAACTGTGTTAACCAGAGTACTGTTTTCAGTAACTGAACCTCTAATATATTCTTGATGTAAATAATTCCACTACCGTCTCCATTGTTCTGACTGCTGTGTGTATATTAGGTATCTGTTAAAGCAAGAGGGTATTTAAGAATTTTTCCCTTTTTTTTTGAATATGTAGAAGCTCTACAAGCCCGTGGTAACACCAGAAGAGATAAGATCTCAGCCTTCTCAAGGTAAAGGTTTCGTGGGGACAGCAGCTGTACTAGGAAACACTGCCTACTTACTGGCTAGCTGTAAATGTTTAAGAAGTTTTCTTTCTTTGAACTTGTTTAAATTATTGGCTGTTAATATAATTAACTAAAATAGCTACAAGTTTCTCATAAATTAGTGTATTGCTGCCTCAGTTTTCTTGTGTCCATTTCTCTTGTTCTAAGTGCAGTCTGCAGTACTTAAAGGCAAAAACTGGCCACTCTGTATGTGTGTGTTGGATAGGAATTGTCACAGAGCTACCCCCAGTAGTTTTCCTTACTTCTTTCCTTCACCACTGG